AGAGACCCGATCCCCCCTGGGCGACACCCCGAGACGAGTCAGAGACCCGATCCCCCCTGGGCGACACCCCGAGACGAGTCAGAGACCCACATGGTTTCAACAACAGGAGGTAAAAGGACCTTACCCCGGTCTTATCGCATTTCACTTTCACTTTGATGGCTTCCGAAATCCCGTTCTCCCGTTTACCCAGACCTTTTCCTGAATCAGCAGGAAGGAAACAAAGGTGAGGAACAGTATTCGAGGGAAATCTGGTTGTGCCGTCCGTACTGTTGCTTTATTGTGTCCCAGTGCCAGTGCCAATGTTCCCTCTAATGCTTAATGGCCGGTGTGCGCAAAAATTTCAAGTTGTGCACATTTTTTTCCCCAGTGCCAAAAACCTGTGCGCACTAAACTGAGTGTATGTAAAATTGTAAACCTGAAATTATTCTTTTTTTGTTAATATAGTCATTCTTACAGAAGCATAGAGATCCAAAAAACTGGGACAGCGATCCCACGAGCCCAGTCAGAGAGACTGAGTGTGGAGCCAGCAGGAGCAGGGAGGTACGAGACCACGAGAGCACAGATATCGATGATCGAGTAGCGATAATAATGCACACAGCCAAGTTGGGCCTCTTGAAGCCAGTCTCCTGTAGTCAATTTAGCATTTTTCAATGGACAACTGTGTTTGTTTTATCATTATATATATTTTTTAAAAATTGTGTGCAGTTTAATTTCCTATGTGTGCTGTTTTCATCATGCACACAGCTAAGAGGGAACATTGCTCAGTGCACTGTGGGATGGTGAGTCAATGGGTGGAGGGGGTATAGATTAGTTATCCACTGACTATTGGAAGCTGTAGGTCAGTGATCGATAAATGGGGCTTCTGAATCCAGGTGATTCACATTAATAATAATTATAATCATTCATTACACTTCTATAGTGCTTTTCTGGACACTCCACTCAAAGTGCTTTACAGGTCATGGGGATCCCCTCCACCACCCCCAGTGTGTATCCCCCACCTGGATGATGCTCCAGTCCGCAGTCAGTGGGGAGGAGAGCAGAGTGATGAAGCCAGTTAATTCAATTAATTTAATCAGGACCCCCTCACCCATATAGGGACCGCCGACATGTACGAGTACAATAACTCGGAGGCCCGTGGATCTTCATCTTATCTTGTCCACCACATAAATCCTGTCCCCTTCGTTCCCATCCTGACCAACAGCTGTGTCTCCTGCTGGTGCTCACGCAGTTTTGCTGCACTGCACCGTAGCAAGGCGCCGTGGGGGCGCCAGTAAGCGGGCAGCCCCGGGCCGCCCTACTCCCCCCCTCCCCGGCCGCTCACCCTGCTGCCAGCCGTGTCGGAGCAGCTGCCGCTCGGCGAACTTCAGCCCTCGGCTCTTGTCCTCCGCGGCGTCCGCCATCGGGGCCAGAATCCTGCACGGCTGTAGAGCGGGCGAAAGAGTTAACATCTCACCCCGACGTTATGGACGACGTTTGCTTTGCAATCAACTCCCCCCCCCAGAATTCGTCATCCGTACGTTTTTAAAGGAGTGATGATTAGATCTGCACTTACACAAGTCCCCCGAGTATGATTAGAAAGCCAGTCGCGTATGTCGACATGTATATTATACGGTGAGCACTGCGTTCAGCTCGGCAACAATTGCAAACCCTTTATACATCTGTGCTAAAGCTGAAGGGTACTTTTTGTCCTTAATAATTTATATACACAATAAGAATTAAAAAAGCTCTGTACACTCTCACTGGTTATGAGTTGTTAACATAGCACAGTATAGGTCTACATGCTGTAACAGTATAAGACATGAAATACACTCAGTACGGACACAAACAATCCAACACTTATAATTGTTATTATTATAATAATGTGTGATACTGTGCTTTCAGAACTGCAATAAATGATACATAGACATATACTAGTACCGTAAAACCATTATAAATTTATCTTGATACTTTTTACCTGTTGTAGAATACAGATGAACTCAGTATTGCAGTTAAGCCATAAGTAAGATATTAAAGTTATGGTCTTGCGATAACCATGCCGTCGGCAGTACAGGCAGCCATGACAACGGAAGTATTAACTTTGACCTTTAAGAGCCATTACACTACTTCCTTTGTTTGTGTCCTTAGCAACCGCTCCCTTCACCACCACCAATAGCAACAACAACAATATCTCTCAGGGCATGGAAGTACAGTAGCTCTTTGGAATTACATTCAAATTTGAATGTAGTTTCGTGTTTAAAGGCTTACAAAGTTGTTGATATTATTATTATAAAATACGGAAATATGCTTCCTTTTGAAGAAGAATATATGTTAAAACTACGTTTTGAATATGCCAGTTTCATCGCACGCGCAAACACAAACATGCACACACTCACACCAGGGGCCAGTTTTCCCAGATGCCAATTAACCTACCAGCATGTCTTTGGACTGTGGGAGGAAACTGGGGCACCTGGAGGAAACTCATGCAATGCAAGAACCGTTACACGAACCATAGTGTTTTGAATATACTGTATATTGAAGCGTATTCGCCCGGCTGGGGTACGCGGCGAGGGGCAGGACAGGGGTGGAAGTGGTCAGGGCGGGGTTTAGGAAGCTGCCCCACAGTGAAACGGGCGTACAGTCTGGGGAGATCGCCCGTTTTCCGTGTAAATAGTTCCCTGGTTCCGCACCCCTGGGTGTTACTCTGTCTCTTTTCTCTCGCTCGCTCGCTCTGGCGGGCTGCCTTCTCTCCCTCTCTCGGCTGGGCGGGGGGGTGCTTGCGGGCTGGTGGTGACGAAAAAATAAATAAAGCGCCGTTTTTAACTCCGCAAATCTGAGTCTCTGTGTCCGTCCTCACCGAACCCGAATTCGTTACAATATTAATTGCTGCTATTTCTTACATGGGGTTTGAAGAAATGGATTTGGACGTATTCTAAAGAACAATGCAATGATTTATTGGTCCCAGTGGAACAGCGACTGGGACCTGTCGGAATACCACGGTACGAAAGCGGACACAACGCACATGTTTTCCACACTTTTGTGGAATAATACAATAATACAAAGGAGACACGTATCCAAATAAATCAAAGTGAAAAAAAAAAAACCAATACATTGCCAGAGGTAATTGCAAATCAGAATATAGTAGGTTAAGGTTTTAACACACATCAATTATGTTCTTACCTTGTTATTTTATGACGTTTTTAAAGGAGGTCACGTAATATTGCATTTCCAACTTACAAGCAGTAAAGCAGGTAGTAGCATTAGACCGTCTTGTTTTACGAATGTGATATCAACCCAGTATTACTAACAGGTTAATTATAAATAAATGTTCTCTTTCCATAATACATCTTGCGAAATATAACACTGTATCAAACTCCCTAAATCTAACATTCACATTTAAATGTTTAAAGATAAAGTTTTGTAAGTCTTCCAAAATAACTTTGTATATACAGTATACAGGTAATAAATAAATGTGTCAGGTTATTTTTCAGCCCACAGAACACACATGAATCATCCTGTTCATGTTTGAATCTAGAAAGTGATGATTTAAAGGATAAAACCTATGAACAATTTAAATGTTATTTATTTGACCTTGTTTGTAAGGACGTCAGTCACTGTGTCCAAACTAATTACCGGTTAATATTTACAAGTATTGCATTCCAGAAGAAAATAAGGGGGGGTAGCAGGATTTACACAGATCTTTTATGTTGCTAAATATTACAATTGTAATTTTATATCCTGTATTTACGCACTATCCAAGAACAGACAATACTCATTTCTGATGATGTGGAGGGACCACATCCGGCCAGCAGGGGTCGCGCGTTACTCAAATTACGAGACTCGTACAGAGGCGCACACGCTGAAGTGCAGGGCTGTGGTGTGAGGGTGTGCAGCTCTCCAAAATCTCAACCAAAGACAAACTGTGGGTAAGTACATGCCACAGCTTGGGTTAGGTGGCCGTAACTCATCCTGGGCCCTGGGAAAGTCGTAGCTTGTAACTGTAAAAGATGGGCATCGGCTTTTAGTTGTCTCTCGCTTTTGATTTACAAGTGGGAGTCAGGATGCGGAGCTCGGGAGCGACAGCTCTGCTGTTTATCTGCGCTCCCTAGCTTTCTGGCAGGAAACGGGGAATGCGCTCAAAGCTGCAATCGCTGCCCGCCTGCTGCTCAGCCGGAAAAAAACACTCCATTATCATCCCAGCATGGAGTTAGTATTGCGGGCCGCAATCGCCGGTCCTCGGCGGGACACCTTCCACATCCTGTAACAGGAGAGGCTCAGTGACCCCCTTGACCTCCGCGGCCATTCAAGTAGCCACGTCTCCACGACTCCCCTCAAAACATTACTGTAACTCCGCACTGGTCAAAGTCTGAGGGGTGGAAATAACTGAGGTGACTTTCAAAGCGCCCAACACAAGTAACGTTGACACGTCGTTTACATCTTCTAGATAACGTGGGGAAGTAAGGAAAAGACCAAAAAATAGGATTTAGGGTTAAAAGCGGAGATTTTCATTGAAGAGATGTTTCGTTAACATTGTACAGTGTACCAGTAGGGTGTACAGTTTTGGTCGCCGTGTTAAAGGAAAGATTTAGCTGCCGTGGAATCAGTCCAGAGTAACCAGAAGGAATGTCCTCCTACACTGACGGGCTAAAGAGCTAAACTTCTGAGTCTTGTTTAGAGGAAACTGCAAAAGAACCTGGTTCAGTTATTCAAAATCCTTCAAGTCACTCCAGTGGACTTGTTCAGGATTTGCCGCAGAGAAGATACAGGCAGAAACTGTTAGTAAGTGTGTTTAAAATCGATCACAGGAAACAAAGGGCTGAGGGAGTGTGGAACAAGCTAACCAACCGTGCTGTTGAAGCCGATACCCTGGCTTGTCTGTGTGAGATCCTGGAATCAATTAACTCCTAAATACTCCACATGCTAGATGGGCAGAATGGCTCCTCCTGTTTGCAATGTTTCTGATGTTCTTATTTTCTAAAAACAGTAACTGTCCCATGAATCCAAACAGATACATGAACATCTACTGAAATCTATTGCCAAAGGCTTGAAGTAAATAGTTTTTGTACATTTTTGTAACTTAATTTTACAGATGCAGAACATGGTCTGTTGGCTCCCTCTATTTCAAATGTGGGCCTAATTAATTTACTGTTCCATAGGCTAGGAATGATCATTCAATTTAGAGAGATATCATCTAGCAAATAATGTTTATTACAAACCGTGCATCCCATGATTGGCAGCCCCACTGGAGCTCAGCAGGTGGGAGCCCGGCCAGTACCTGGAGGGGAGACTCCTGGGAAAGCTGAGGCTGCTGCTGGAAGAGGTGTTAGTGGGGCCAGCATGGGGCGCTCACCCTGAGGTCTGTGTGGGTCCTAATGCCCCAGTATTGTGACGGGGTCACAATACTGTAAAAAGGCGCCGTCCTTCAGATGAGACGTAAAACCGAGCTCCTGACTCTTTGTGATCATTAAAAATCCCAGGGCGTTTCTCGAAAAGAGTGTTACTTTGGTGTCCTGGCCAAATTTCCCCCTGGCCTTTACCAATCAAGGCCTCCTAATAATCCCCATCTCTGAACTGGCTTCATCACTCTGCTCTCCTCCTCACTAATAGACTGGTGGTGGGGGAGGGGATCCCCATTACCTGTAAAGTACTTTGAGTGGAGTGTCCAGAAAAGTACTGAAAAGCACTATGTAAGTGTGAGGTCTTTAACTGTTAGACAGCACTCTGTATATTATACACACCTATACAGGTAATGCGTACAGGTAAAGTAATGCTTTTACTTTACTTTTAACTTGGTAAGCATCCTTCAAAATAAAAAGGGCAACTTTTCTGGCACAAATTAACAATTCACAATTAAAGGCAGGGTGTGTTCTGGTGAGGAAGAAACATATTTTGATTATCTTAGAGTAGACAGATAGAGAAATGAAGATTTTGAGATATTTTTTTGACTGTAAACGACATGTCACATGAAGCTCCATCTCCAGGACATGATCCGCTACAGCTACAGTGCTGAATATCTTTAGTCTGGATTCGAGAGGCCCTGTGAGATTGACACAAGTACTTCAAATCCTAAAATTCATTGAATCATCCCAGAGGCAGGTCTGTCTTCAGAACCATGTATCCATTTCCTAATTGGTTCTTCCAGTTCAGGGTCATGGGAGAGCCAGAGTCTATCCCAGTAAGCAATGGGTGCAAGGTGGGGTACACCCTGGACAGGACACCAGCCCATCACAGGGCAGGTAGACACACACACACACACACACACACACACTCAGGGACAGCTGTCATAGAAGCCAGGTAACCCACTGGCATGTCTATCGGAGGTACCCCATACAAAGATGGGGAGAACATGCAAACTCCATACAGAGAGAACCCTTGGAATTTAACTGCGGGCCCCAGCGCTGTAAGGCGGCAATGCTCAGGTCTGTACACACCACCATGCCGACCCTAGAGGACAGAAACGGGTACCTAGGAGGGGTGATGGGTGGGGGGCATGTGATATAGGGCTGACATCGGGAGGCTGGCTTTACAGAAGGGGATGTGGGTGCCTGGGCCCTGTTGTTGAAGGCAGGAATGCCTTGAGAGATCTCGCAACAAGATCGCTGATCCACGATCTACTAGCGCCAGGCGCGCAGGCTGATCTTGTTGATGTGTTCTAGTGTGCTCTGGGTGCGAGTCAGCTCCGTGAAGTCCCCCCCCCACACACACAAACAGCACAAACGATGAAACCCACCTCATTCGTTAGTGCTGCGTTTGTGTCGTTGAAAGTAGCGTTTGTGCTGCTGTCGTTTCCGAGATGTACCGCCCTGTTTTTTCGGGAGTGTGAGGTCACTCAGCCCCCTCCCACAACGTCGGAGGAGACCCGAACCGGTCCCATTCGTTAGTGCTCCGCTTGTTCCGGCTTGTGCCGTTGAAAGTAGCTTCCCAGCTGTGTGAGCCTAATTAGCGCACACCCATCTCGTTTGTCCGTACTTGGGCTCGACGGGTGTGAATCTAATTGTCTTGCGCAGACCCCTAAATCAACAGCGATAATGGGGCTTTAACCCGAGTATCAGATGGCCCATATGCATCAGGTCCGTTGTGTGTTTCACCT